TGCTCCTATATCATACCCCCCAGTGTTGCAGGTTGGACCCTCTGCTTATACACTTTCCCACAAATATCTTCACACTTTCTTCCACCTCACCCCTTATACATGGAATACCCATTCCACATTAGTTCACAAAGCCACTTAGCCTCTCCTCCTCCGAATCTCACTTCAAGACCTACTTTTACCATGATGGCAACTAATAATGGTGAGATGGACAGTCAGTGTGGCTCGTTGATATTTATACATGTAACACAAATTTTAAATAATTCACATAGCTATCCTGAAATCGTAAGTTCCATGCTGGTTTTGAGGGGTCTCTTACTGGAGGCTGAGCTTAAAGTGAGTGTATTTTCACAAGCTGTGGAGAGTGCCAGAGCCCTCTACTGAGCCCTCTACTGATGTTGGCAGAAGACCCCATATGACCTTGGGGGCAGCCCTTTCCTCCTTCCACCTCATTGATTAAAATCAAATTCAAATGCAAACAATTTCCCATGCTTTATACATCCCTTCCTTAATATTCAAAGGGTGACCTTTAGGGGAAAAAGGTTAGTGTTGAGACAGTTCACCAGTGAACTGTTTTCTAATTCAATTTGTTAAATGCAAGTAACCATAAATAATTATAAATCAATTACCAACCCTGCTGTCTACTTCCCCAAGCAAAAAATTATAACAAAGTATTTCTGAAAGTGATTGAGCAAAATGAACAGCTTCCATAAGGCAAGGCATTTGCGTTTCAATTTATCTTTTCCTTCATAATAGCACCATTTGAAATACATTTTGCTAAATATGGGAACTGCTCTTGTAGAAGAAATCAATTATATTCTTAAGTTTAAATCTTCTTTTTTCCAGTTATGCTCTAATGTATCACTGTACCTAAGAAATGTACCCTGGGGAAAATGCTTCTATTCTTCACTAAAAATCCATGAATAACATTATGTAAAAATTAATTTATGATAAATGATTTAAAATCTTAACCTAGTATGGCTTCTTATTCAAATGTCATCAGAAAATGACACCTCACCCGCAGAAAGGAGTCAAGGGATCCATTCTCCATATATTCCACCACAATCATTACTGGTCTGCCTGCAAAGACAGCAAAGAAACACATTAGGATTATAGCTATATTAAGGGCTTGTTATATTTCCAGCTGTTACAAACAGATTATTTTCATTACTTAAATATGTAGCTCTTTTTCAAAATCTTCCTCTACAGCACAAATGCGTCATTGTTTTGTTATCCCTCAGCAACATTTTCAATCAATATTTTCTTTATTTGAGGCACTGAAGTAGCTGATTACATACAGTTCATTTTGGCAGTGTTTTCTTTAAAATAGTCAAACTAGAGTCCTCAATTCCAAACAGTTACCATTTTTGTACCTGTCAGTGGGAGAAGTAGCATCTTTAACATGAATGTGTAGTAATTACAGCTATATTTTACAAAGAATACTTCTGAAAACACTCAAGGCAAAAAAAAAAAGAATTGATAAACCATCTCTAAAAGAAACCAAAATCTGCCCTGTCAAAGAAAAAGCATGTAAGCCAAAAACTTCAATGACCCTATATACTATGAAAGCAAAGAAATCTCTCGTGTGTGTGTGTGTGTGTGTTACTGATCTGCCTTTCGTGGAGTTTCTAAACCTTCATTTCTGTGAAACATGGCCATATTTTTATCCATAGATATGCTGATGCAGTATGGTCCTAGGCCACCAACATACTGAATTCAGTGCTTAATTTTTTCAAATCAATGGAACTATTCATGTGTTTAAAGTAAAGCATGTGCTTAAATGCTTTACTGGCTTGGGGGCTATCTGGGTCTCTTATGTACTTTGTTCTGCTTGACTAATGCATATTTCCTAGTTGGTTCTGTATTATGTTCAGAAAAGAACCAGCTCAGAAACCGATTAACATTATATGGTTTTTACCAACATGTCCAACTTGCCAAGTTTTATATTTTATCTGTTGTATGTACCTAAATGGCATCTTACTGCTGGTATCCAGGCATGAGCTGTCACTCCAAAACTGCCTAGCAGGAACAGTCGAATTTACCCGCTAATTGGGGCCCGCAGTGAGATGTTTCAGAATGGTTAGTACACCTCTACCTCGATATAATGCTGTCCTCGGGAGCCAAAAAATCTTACAGCGTTATAGGTGAAACCGCATTATATTGAACTTGCTTTGATCTGCTGGAGTGCGCAGCCCTGCCCCCCCCCCGAGCACTGTTTTACCGCGTTATATCAAAATTCATGTTATATTGGGTCACGTTATATCGGGGTAGAGGTGTACTACACAGGGTCAGGGCTGGCTCCAGCTTTTTTGCCACCCCAAGCGGCAAGGGGGAAAAAAAAAGAAAACCCCGATTGAGCTGCCGCAGACGTGCCGCCAAAGAGAAAGAGAGGGAGTGAAGGACCCACAACCAAATTGCCGCCAAAGACCCGGACGTGCTGCCCCAATAATGGACAGAGTGCCGCCCCTTTCTATTGGCCGTCCCAGGCTCCTGCTTCCTTCGCTGGTGCCTGGAGCCGGCCCTGCACAGGGTCAACTAATAAATGCAAGACTAATGTAATGAACAAGCACATATGCAAGATTGTTGTTCTATGCACTTTTCCTCCTGGCCAATCTCTTTTTGTGGCAATGCCTGTATCTGGAAGGGTCTATGTAAAACAGAACTTTTAATAACAGGTGCCATCATGACTCATCCCATTTCTCTCTAAACGGGCCCAATAATTTCAATTCCTTTGCAAGTCCTTATGTAAAAGTCTTTCCCTGTGAGAAGGAAAATGTATGGGGGCCTTAGGACTCTGGTCAAGCTTACAGGCCTAAAGAGTTGACCGAGCCTGTTTTTGTATGGAAAGTCTCCAAAGCAGAACAATGGCTTTGTGTGTATAAAGGGCACGAGGGGGCAGAGTGAAAAAGTCCCCAAGGAGCATAATTTGCAATAGCCAGGCTTATGAAATATATAACCACAACAGTTGTGTTAGAAAGGTCGCTGACCGCAAAAGAACAGACAGTGAGTAACAGGAGGGGCCTAGAGGGAGAGACGCTTGTTCTTGCTTTTGGCCTGTATTGATTTTGCAATGTATTCCAAATAAGGTAATTAATATGGAAGTATGTGTAATTTGTCTGTGGTTTTAAGCGTTAAAAAGCTTGTGTGTTCCTTGATTCAGGGGGCAGTTACTTAGAGCTGTTCCCCCCCCCCCCCGCACGCTTGTAATCAACAAAGGTGCCTCAGGCTGATCTGATCCAAAATCAATCGTGTGGTCGATTTTCCACAACACCTGCCTATCTTTTAGTTTTTAGTTGGCTGTCCCTGGACTCATTCCTATTTCTGCTATACATTTTTTTCAGATGGGCTAATGAGACGGTAACACAGTAATCAGGGTGACTTACCTAATGGCATTATAATATTTCCACTATCTATCCCACTCTTTATATATGCAAATTTTTGCATATTTTTTGACTGACTGTGGACATGTTGGACAGCTCAATAAAATACATAGCCTGCTGTGCTGAGGACGCTCCCTTTTAAGTCCCTCTTTCAACTGGAGCATGCCTGTCAGCGGCCTGTCAGGGCGGGTCTTCCTGGGCCCAGAATTGCTCCTGCATTCTTAGCTCTACAGTGTGGGGTTTAGCCACCCCATCACAGTAATATGGAAGGCAAGGTCCGAGAAATGCGCCAAGTTCTAGAAACAAAAGCGATCATGTTTTAGATGTTTTTTTAGATCCTGTGACAGTTTGTTTCACAGCCACGGACTGGCCCCATTGAAAGCTCTGTCTCCTTCACAAATGGGCTTTACCCTTGCCATGGACAGCTCTCTAGTTTCCGAGGAGCAGAGTTGTCTATCATAGTCCTCATCCCAGAGTTTCAGATGATTTCTTTGGTATCCTGTGAACAGGCTATTGAGTTCTTTGAAGATAAGGACAGAAACCTTGAATTGGACCTGATATTCTGTGGGAAGCCAGTATAGGGAGCAGAGGAGACGCTGATGTTCTTATGGTAGTCTGTGTTGCTTAGGAGACATGCTGCTGTGTTCTGTACTAGTTGGAGTTTCCTAAGGGCTGGTGATTTCATGCCCAGGTGTATTACATTGTTGAAGTCCAGCCAGCAAATGAACGAATATGTTGCTGAGGCCAGGTCACTGTCTGCCAGGATTAGATATCATCTTTTTGCCACCTGGAGATGTTGATAGTGTTTCTTGTGGACACAGCTAGGTGAGAGCTTAATGGCTGTCAGGAATCCCAGGAGCTATCTTAAACTGTGGTCTGAAGTTACCAGTTGTGGGAGTGTACTTTCAACCAAACCCAGACCACACAGTGGCTACAAACTCCTCATTTTGACAACCAGCATCACTTGCATTGTGCTTGGGTTTAGCTGATAGATGAACAGTGGGTTGATGTTGATCTCCACCAAGCACTGGGCCAAGGGTGATGTCACATGTGGCAAAGACAAGGTAGAGCTGTGTGTCATCTGCATATTGCAACACTTGAGTCTATGTTGTCTTACTAGTTCTCTTAGTGGTTGCACATAGATGTTGAATAGCATCAGAGAGAGAGAGAATAGATCCTTGTGGGACTCCAGAAGTGATATTCTAGGTGTGGAGGTACAGTATCCCATCACTACTCTATGGGTACGTCTACACTTACCTCCGGGTCCGGCGGCAGGCAATCGATGTTCTGGGATCGATTT